CTCTCTCTTTCTCTCTCTCTCCCCCTCTCTCTCTTTCTCTCTCTCTCCCTCCCCCTCTCTCACTTCCCCCTCTCTCTCTGCGTTCGTGTCTCAGCGGGGAGAGAGAGAGCGAGAGAGAGAGAGAGAGAGAGAGAGAGAGAGAGAGAGAGAGAGAGAGAGAGAGAGAGAGAGAGAGAGAAAGCGGTTTTTGTGTAGAGTTCGTAATAAAAAAATATGTAAATTATGTGAAGCAGCGCTGTTATCTTCTGCGTAAAAATTCGTGAATTGGCAGTTCATCGTTCGCTGTGCGTAAATCATTTCTTACTCACAAAATCACAAAATCCGCATGCAATAATATCATAGAGTTATAACGAGACAGAAACTAAACCTTGCGATAGCAATTCGAAATGCCAGCTTATTGCAATTTCTCGATAAAAATCTCGGCTAATTTATGGCCTTGTTTTTTGAGTATCGCATGGCAGCCAATGAAAAATGATTTCCCCCGCGTAGCGACCCCCTCCCGTAAGCACGCTACTTAGTAAACAACACGCTCGCGCATGCGCATTCCGTACAAGTTGTTATTCACTCCAGAATGTCGTATATCGGTGATGACATGAATACACATTGCGACGTCGCACAACGGACTTTCAAACTCCGGATGCAGAAGCAATTTACGCGTTTTCGCTGTTTCAATTACCTTAAAATTACCCGAATATCGTGCAAACATATAGATCAGCATTCCATCATCAGCTCCACTCTCCCTAGCCAGCCAGGCGACAATAGCTAAACTAGATATTTTCAACGACGCGACGTCGGCGTATTAATTATTGAATAGCGTGAAATTGTAAACAAGTTTTTCGCACGTTTTTTGAGTGCTCGATTTACGCAGAATAATATTGGCGCGAAGAGTCAATGTTGCCGTAACGTGAATATGCAATTTTATTGCAATCAATGTCGAGTTAAATTTCGGTTATCAATCTCGGTTAATGAGTAAAGAAAGCTGCGCATGTTTCTTATTTCACAGCGATAATCGTGTTTTACGAGCGTGTGCATGCATCGTGTCGATTCATCGGTCAGTCATAATTATTGTCAGCGACTGCCGACGTTGTCATGACAACACCATGCAGCCTTAAATAACTACCGAATAAAACCACACACACCAAAATGAAATTGACGAGCGTATACGCACGCACACTCATTGTACGCAAACTCGCATGCACGCTCACTCACGCACGTGATGGCAACGGTAACGATAACAAAGACAGCAGAAAAAAAGGCAAACAAACGCACGCACGTTGTGAAACCGTCGTTATGTTTATTGTAGTGAATACACAACCACACGCCTGACCGACAGTCACACACAGCACATACACACTCACCCAACATGGATGCCACGACCACCACTTCCACGGAGCTGTACATAATACCAACTGTATATAATATCAGCTGTACTGTAATAGCAGCTGTATATATAACACCAACTCAGTGACCGCCACCAACGAGATAGATATACACTAGCTAGACATACAAATGTACACAGCTACACACATGCTATCATATACATCATAGCTAATTAGCTATATAGATATATAGCTGTATATATCTAGCTCCTTGACCACCACTACCGCTGAGAGGGTCTATGTCCCCCAGGGTACTGCCGGAACGTACCCTGGTACTATCTAATATGCCGGACCGTACCTCGCCTACTCCACTAACGAGTCTAGGGAGTCGCCTACGCCTACTCCCTAATCCTAACCATATCAAATAGTTACCTAGCTCTAGTACTATAGCCCACATTAACTGCCGCTGGCTTACGTAAACCGCCAGCGGCAGTTAATGTAAGCGGGCTATAGTACTAGAGCTAGGTAACTATTTGATATGGTTAGGATTAGGGAGTAGGCGTAGGCGACTCCCTAGACTCGTTAGTGGAGTAGGCGAGGTACGGTCCGGCATATTAGATAGTACCAGGGTACGTTCCGGCAGTACCCTGGGGGATATAGACCC